TGAACTTACACATTGATTTTCTCTATTATATTGACTTTGGTGTAATCCATATCACATCCGACACCTTGGTAAGGTAGAGAGAAAAAAGACATTTCAAAAAAAAGAGTTGAAGATAAGATTATAAAAGTCAAAGAAATTCAATTCAAATGGTGAAGTAGGATATATTTATTGAGATGAGAATGACTGAGTGGACATATGATTTTCCTCAAGCTTTACTACTGCCTTAATTAGTCTTCTGCTACTTGACTCAGAAGACCTGACTTGTTGACCGCGCCAGCACTCTCAGGGGTTCTCCAGTCTGTCGTGCACATCGTCGACTTTTCTCGTAACTCATTAGTTGATGGAGTGTGCGGCTATAGAACCCGAGTTATCTGTAGATACGAACCAGAATACAACTAGACTGCTTGATCCTTTATAGTACGAGTGTTATTAGCTAATGGAAATAGAATCTGTGACGTGATGAGAGAGTTATCGACAAAAGCAGAATATTATAAACAAATAATCAATGCGGTTCTTTTAGCCGAATTGCAATTTATATCAATAGACCTATTTCCTGTTATCGATTTGCAATTTAATAGATGGATTAACAAAAAAGCTCCACTTTTATGTGCCTCAACAATCATTAGCTATCCACAGGGTTTGTTTATCTTGATTATGTTTAATTTTATTCGAAGTAATCAAGACTTTGACGTGGTACTACGACCCATAAACTTCAATACAAAGTTTGACGAATTGGAGATCCAATGTACTAAATAAAATATAGGATACATAGTGATGAAACAACTTAAGCAAGAGAGATAGCCAAATAAAAAGTTCAATCTGTTATGCTGCTCGAGACCTATCCCAATGAAATTGCCAACTCATCATCGACATAACGTGATTCCAATACTTTCTATCAATAGAAATGCCATGATTACTGGTTTGGTAAATGTGCCTTGTCATTTTTTTTTCATACTTATGTTATTGCAGAGTTTGATTATTATTAATCTTTTTTCATCGTTCTATATGACTTATAAATCTAATCACTAGCCAGCCGGCTACTTTATAGCTGGCAATAACTTCATTAGCTAGAATACGGGTGGATTTATTTTTAACAACTTCTTTATCCACCGAACCATGTTTGTAAAGAGTTAGATAAATGACAACGCATTTATCTCGCATGAAAGTATAGCGTTTTTAATCAGAATGTTTCGTGAGTTTTTGTTGATTAAAAATAGATAATTTTTTTTCTTAATTTTTTTTAATTTTAGTGTCAGTGAGGAAATTGTTATATTTTAATATAAATTAATATATCTAATGATGAGTTTATAACCGATTAGATCTATTTTGACGAAGCTTTATTTTTTTAAGCTGTGTAATTCAATGAAGCAAACAATTCCTATTTTATTTAATAATTTCATTATTCTTGAATTGAATACGGTGTTTTGTAAGGTCGATGATCCTATTGAGAACAAGAAGCCGAATCAACATATATTACATTATTACACGGACACTCTACTGTCTCTGTTAGGTATCATGGATTATGTTTCTGAAAGCTCAACTTACACATGGTCACACATAATTTGAACATTATACCTAGTGCACTTATTCCTTTTATACGTGTGCCATGTGATACCCTCGATTCTGTAGCAAATTTCCATGTGAATATATAAGTCATGGCCACGGAATTCACCGCAGGCAAGATTAAGAAGTAAAAGATTTCTCAACAGACTGAAAAGAGTCCAAATAAAATAAGCAACAAAAAAGTATCACAAGTCGGGTAGCCTCGTTAGATCTTGCGGGAGGTCCATGAAACAATAGCGCGGTGCTCGGTGTTCAGACCTTGTATTCTGTAGCGTACAGTCAGGTGAGTCTTGCAGATTTTTTTCTGCTAGGACAATGGTCGAGCTACTCTACATACGTTCCTATTAAAGCAACGATGCACACGCATTATACTACTGCGCTTTAATGTCACAAAAAATGCTGCTTCTTTAAATTAATCGGCTGAGCTGAATATTCTTTGCCACCTTTGGTAAGTTCGGCACCAAGCCTTGCAAAAATATATGAGGATATGAGTGCGTATCAGACTATAACTTATCTCCCAAAGAAAAAGAAAGTTGCCTGGTAATGCGCTTCGTATCCTTTTTGCTCCTGCTTTAAATTCTTTTTTCTTCCATAGAATACATTAAAAAGGATCAAATTGATATGAAGAATTATTTATTTATGAATTTATGTCCCAACTAAAAATGTGCATTAATTGAAATCTATCGCATTTTGGAGTTTACTCTAATAAATACACCTTCAAAGAGCTAATGTTATCCGTCGGGAAATTTAACCAACGAATAACATCCAAGAATTCTCAAGTAGGTAGGCCTGTAGACAACTGAAAAGCTAATTCATTGGTCGTCAACGAAGCGCAACGAGAGTGCTTTAGTGGTCATTCGATTAATCAGAATCATAGAATTAGCTTTTACACTAGCACTTTTGTTTTTTCATTGCATCAGTTTATTTGACGTTGATTGTAATTGTAGTAACAATGAACGTAATTTAAAAGTATAAAAAAGTTATATTTCCTATACAATTTATTTTTTATTATTCTCCCGTCAATTTTGTTATTTGATGCTTTTCTACGAGAATCGAATGAGATGAGTGTTTGAAATTAATTATTGGTTTACTAGTCACTAGTAACTTGGAAAAAGAAAGATAAAAATGAAAAAAGTTAAATGGAAACTCATAAAAGTCGTTGAGTATTGATAATATGAGTATCGATTGTGTTTTGGTTGAAATGAAAATAGTAGAAACTCGGTCTACAATATACTGGCTGAGTATTCCGACCTACATAAATCAGAATTATTTCGCTTGGTTCTATCTCTTGGTTTCCTGGGGCGTACCATCCCTACGATATGCTTTCTGGTGCTATTGGCATATTTACCACAGTCATTGCAAGAACGTATTGCAACAGAATGTATCATTTTAAGTTATAACGTGTGACTTTTGATTACATGGGAATATTTATATATACATTTTATGACTCTTCATCGATACTGTGATAACCAACTCGGATAAAAATATTATATACAGAAAAAATATAATAAAAAATATATGTTAAAAATATAAAAATATAATTTTCAGTATAAAACATTTTATAAAAATTGTATATAATTTTTTTCCGATTTTATTATAAAACTATATAATTTTTATTTTATATATTATCATTATATTTTAATAGAGAAACTATATATTTTAGCATAGAATAGAAATATATATTGTTTTACATTTTATATTATATTTGAAAACATTATGAATGTTTTCTGTATATAAAGCAATGAAATCATTATTTTATAAATCCCCATTACTATTTAAGACTTATTTATTCATCTATTTTTATTACAATAAATTATTACATAATGTAAAATTACTCAATCAAATTGTGTTTTTTTTTTAATCATAATATCAAAACTGTTAACACTCAAAAAGAATTATTTATCAACTTAACGAGAACGATCAATTTTAATTACAACGTTTTACTAATGAATGGTAAAATTTCCAAAATTAATGACATTGTAGTATTACAAAAAGCAACAAGTCGAGAGGCTTATGTAGTAAAATATTATTATTCATTAGCAGTTTCATTGTTGATTTCTAATCGAAGATTAGAGCAATATGTTTTATTAGAAAAAAAATCAAATGTCTACAAGCAGTTGATATTGACTTGATTAGGATAAAAATTATAATTTTTAGAAAGCCTGAGTGGAAAACGGGTGTAGCATATTTACCAATATGTGATTCGGAATTATCAACATAATTATTTGGTCTAATTTATTATGGTTGATAACCTTGTTATTTATTGTAATAAATAAATATATATATAAAAAAATATATATTGAAAAAAAGATTTTTTCATAAATTTTTATGTATATTTTTCCGTGTATTTATTCCATTATAAAGAAAAAATATAGTTATTTTTGCCACTTATATTACTTCATATTTAAAATATATTATTTCACATATTTACTCTATATATTTTATTTTCATACGGGAAGTGTGGGATTTTAATAAAGAGCTTTTGATGAATTCCTTCAGTATTGACTATTACATATAAAAGAAATCCGCTGAAAAAGAACATTATTCATTTTTTCCAAGTATTGAAGAGAACTTGTGAGTATTTATAATAATCTTTGGATTGGAAATAACAGTAGAAAAAAATATCCAATATTTTTATGTTATTTTTATCATGTAAAAAATGGATACAATTATTGTATTAAATTTAATTATTGTTAAAAATGTGGATAAAGCAGACTGAAAAATAGGTGTAAGATCCAACGATATTCTGAATCACATAATAAAGGTAAAATATGGCTCACTAAATTCCATATCCTCTTCTCAAAATTGTAAACAAGCGTAACTTTACTGTGCATTCGTATCGTAATTAATGCTAATTGTTCTCGTGAGCTTTTACATGTGAATTATGCAGTTTTACGATAGCTGTAATCACCCGTACAGTAGTGCTTCAGTGAGTATATATTTTCCCAATCTCGGAATAATTAACTTTTCGGTAGAGATATACATTTAAAAATAATTTATCTTCTTTTACATTCATTTAAACGCTAATAAATTATTTTTAGAATTTGTAGCGGTAATTAATAGCTTTGTAGAGTCAAATAACAACGATTAGTTGATCTGATTACATGATTAAATGTGGTGTGACCTGAAGATTATTTCGGAAAAAATCGCATCAATTACCGATCAAACTGTCAATTATCATCAATCAGAACAATACACGTTGGTGAAATGAATGACTCGTTCATTAATGATCAATAGAGTATCAGGTCATATATTAATATTTGAACGCCAAAGTTTATTACAACGCTTTGCAACTACACTGAAAAATATATTGGGCACGATAGATCATCAGATATAATTATCAAGACATTTCTATTAACTTGTTGATTTATTTACAGCGAGGTCACCCGGTCGTGTTAATACCAAAGTAATATTTGATGATTTAATCTAGCTCTTACCTGCTACGGTGAGAGTTGCATTTCTGCTTCTGACACTGCCAGCTTGATTTTTCGCCACACACCAATACACACCACCATCTTGCTCTTTTTTCCCATGCATCACACGAAGAAAGAAGAGAGATCCCGCAGGCAAAAGTACTCGATGTGACTTTGAATCAATTGGCGATGTTTGAACTGGCTCACCATCTTTATACCACTCAATTGTTGGTTCTGGTTTGCCTTCTGCCTTGCAATTTAACGTCACAGGTTCATTTTTTGCTACAATTATGTCTGACGGGTGCTCTATGATTCGAGGTGGTCGCGATTGAGCTGAAACTGAAAGAAAAACAAATCAATTAGTCTCTTGAGTCTTTTTGTTTTGATAAACATTCAAAATGTAGGAAATGCATTAATTTTTAATCAACTTTAAAAGCTGTAAAAACGAAAAACAAGAATTTTAAGAAAAATTGAACGAGCTATTTAATTAAATTGTTCATATGAGTTATTTTTAAAAAATAAAAGAAAAAATTACTTTGATGTATTCTTTATAAAACCTTTTCATCACTTGAGATGTTTCAAAATTTTATTAATTTCATTGATAATTTTTCAATTTATTTAAGTAAAGTTTTTGATTAGTTACGATGCAGTAAAAGAATTTTCTCAAGTTCTAAAAAAAAAGTGCAAAGAAATGACAACTTTATTTTAACTAAATTAAAATCATATTTGCATAAAAATTTATTAATTTCTTCCAAATATAAGTAAATTAAATAAAATAGTGAATAAAATAATCATTCCTTTCTGGTTGCTTAGCGTAAAGACTCGTAGTACATCAAAATATAATTCGACATTTAGTGTTTTATATTATTCGAAAAGCAGCTAATGATCGTAGGAAATAGTCGTAACATGTCAGTGGTTTCCAGCTGTATAGGGAACGAAATGATGTTTGACATTTCTCATTGAGCGAAGGTAATTTTTCATTTCTATCGGTACACTGACGTGCACGAGGGAGCGACAGCACCGTCATCGATCGGATTCTACGACGTTCACGCACATCACCCTAATGTTCGTCGTTCATGCGATGCGCACGACCACCCTTACCCTTCATCTGTACCGTCTAATCTATCCAGCTCAATCAAAACTTGGTAGACATAAGAAATAAAATGTTCGTGGCAAATTGCTTGGTATTTTATTCGATGTTGGTTTAATGTAACTTTAAAAAGTATATAAAACTCTGTAATTAACGTAGTAGTAAATAAAGGCTTACTCTCCACTAAAGTCTGGAATTTTTGCAAACAATCATTCACGTGAAGCATCAATTTGGCGTATTTAATTTTAATAAAGATAAATCGAGGGATTTTTGAGTAAGAGAGGAATGTAATTTAAAATGGCGATATTTGTTAAGAATGAAAAACTTGCGTATGATCATTACAGCCACACTACTTCTGGAGTTATTCATGGCTAGGATGTTTGAAAGCGTGAATGTGGCGGTCTACCTTGTGCAATTGAAGTGCAGTCGTATTTATATTAAAGGGGTGAATGGGTAGTGTGGATATATGTATATATAGCTGAAAGTTGCACACAAGGGTTGTGTGAGAGATGAAGAAGGTAGTGTAGGCAAACAGTCGGGTATTTTCTTTCATTTCTCCTCTCGTTGTACTTGCGCACGCCTGTTAGAAGCTCCAAGCCTTTGGGGAAAGCTACATACGTTGAGTCAAAAGGACTTTGTAATCATATTTTATTCAGAGATATGCATAAAACATACATGAGTATTCGTACGTACATTTGCGTCCACTTTTATTTGAAGGGGCGGAGGCATATTTTATCATTCGTTGCTTCTACTTTTCATTCTTTCTTTCCTTTACGTTTTCTCGCCTTCTACGCCGTCAAAACCACCACATTACGACTTTTCATATGCCAAATATTGCACAGATATGATTTTTAGTTACTTTTTTTGATATGAGGAAGAAAATTCTTTCTTATTAGTAAGAAACGAATAGATAGAATTGAAATGATTTCAGAGATGAATGTTTTTTATTTAAAGTAAAAAACATTTCATTTAGATCTTAAATAATTCTAATGTATTTCAAAAAGTAACATTCTCTGACAAACTCTAATTATTGCGATGAATAAAACTTTTCCTTTATAATTAAAAATATCGAAAATTGAACAAAATGTCACAAAGAAAAGATTTATTGACTACATTTTTAATAATTCCCTTTTTATGATTTATTGAAATTTCATTCAATCATAATTGAACACTTTTGGAGTGTGATTATTTTTTTATTTTTTTTAATAGAATGAAATTTATTTTTTACAACATTTTGATTACGTTAAAAAAAAAGTTTCGATATATTTTTTGAACTTGACTATTAAACAAAACATGTCGATAAACCCCGTATATATTGATGAATAAGTCTCAGTCTCGAATATGTCATTTGATGTGACATTTCCCCAGGCACTCATTAAAAGTATGAAAAATGAAAACGATATATTGAAAAAAAAAAACAGAAAAAAATGTAAAAAAAAATCACCGTCTCATCTGGAAATTTAAATCCAATATAACATATAAATATAATAGTGGAATAATAAAAGCAGTATCACGACCACTGTGAGAAAAAAGATTAGATTAGGACAAAAATATAATATCAAATGGAAAGAAAAGATAAATATTCATACACTGGTTATTCGTGTGAGACGCAGTACAAAACAAATAAAAATTAAAATAGTGACAAAAATGAAACATTTATACTGTGTTTAAAATGTTAAATTCATTCATAAATTTTTCATGTCTTTATGTTGAAGAAAATATAATTTAAACGGTCGAACAATTACCGTGAGACAAGGTAGAGAAGAAACTAAGAACAAGAGAGAAGAATTATCGAGACATTGGGTGCTGTAATGACCAGGAGTTAGCGGGATGTGTGAAATCCCAGACCCTGGGGATCATTAGAGGGAACAAATTGTTGCTCCACACGGGGCAGTTCTACAGTCTCGTGATAAAGACATTAGCGTTCGCATTATAGAAGAGAGAAAAGAAAGCTAGATGAAAAAAAGACATATAACCTGCGTGTAAAACGCAACAAACATTTTACTCTAGCTGCAGAAACCGAGGGGCCTTCCAATGATGAGAAAATGATTAGTCAGTGTGCTTGGGAGGGATCCAGAAGTTGATGTTTTACGCGCCTATACCATTATTTTCTGTCAGAAGAACGATAAATAGCTCACTTTATCATCATTTAGTACAAGCTATATTTATTGTAGGTTGTACGCTTATTCAATATCATAATTAGCTTTGTGATTCATAATGCAACTATGTGAACAATCTGATTAAACTTAATAGTTTCACTCAAGCATGTAAAGCATCTATACAGACATTTATTCTATAAGTTAAATTACCAGTCGCAGGTTAATAGTTCGCAAGGTTTTAGTGTAATATTATATTAAATGCCTCAAGAATTTGTATTATTTTATTACATTCAAGGTATTATATGAAACATTTGAATTTTCAATCAAATTCATTTGATGCATTTTTGTTTTTTTTTTCTTTACTATAGAATACTCTAGTTAGAATTTCTTGATTTTAACAAATTTGTTCTTTTTATCTTTTAATTGCTGCTTGATTTTTTAAATGTAGTGTTAAAATGATCGTATTTCAAGGTAATTCATCGAAAAACTGTTATTGAAATAAATCAGAGAGCATATTATAGAAGTGTTATTGTGTAATGGTATTTTTTATCTGTAGAGAATTATAAATTGATTTTATTTACATGGATTATTGAAATTCAATACTTTTATTTCACTGCAGTTTTAGTACTGCTTCTATACGTATAGCAGAGTGAGTCAATATTTTTAACTCTCAATGATCTCGTAAAAGTTTAATAAAATCGAGGATTAAATGCCATCATTTCATGTATCATATATAATTATAGAAAAAAAATAAAAATAACTTCATTTCACAATATCTCATTAAACTTTTGAAGAATTAAAATGATGTTTTAGAAACTTCGTAAATCACTTTTAGTGATCGATCCAATTTTTTTCTGTCTTATAACTTTAAACGCTAAAACAATTAAATTTTTTTTTTAGTAAAAAGTGAAAATATCAGCCATTAATCTAAAAATGAAAACTATGTTAGATTCGACCATTTAACTATTTCTATATATATATATATATATATTTACATACAGCAGCATTACTAACAAGCAAACGACACCATAAAAATTTGTCAGGCTAGCAGAAAATCGTGTTTTTTTATATCATCCATACTTGGCGAGTCGTAAAGCAATATTTTTTATGGGGCTACTTGTGCATGAATACATTTGACGATGACATATACGACTTTTCGAAGCATATTGAATCATAAACTCTCCAGCGAAAACGGAATCTCTAGAAATAGAGTAATGACGAGTTGCAAATACAAAAGTTAGAACTCAAATGAAGAATGGTCTCAAAAAGTTATTTGAGAATGAGCAAGAAGAAGAAGTAAAAGAAGTCTAAAGGTTTTATTTTGCGACCGGGTCTTTGTGGTTTTACATTTCCGCTCGACAAGACGTCGCCGCGCTTCAACATCTATTCGGTTACACACCGGAGAAAAAGAGAGATAAATTAATTCTGTACTTCTGGAAATCGATAAAATGATAAGAAAACCACCAAGAGCAGAACGGAAGAGGGAAATATCAAATAGTCTTATATCGGAAATTGTTTGAATCAATTGTGCAAATATCCTTCAACTTGGCTTCTTTCCTCCAAAGCTCGCCTTTACATCACCGGAATAATATTTGGAAACTTCTAATATTCAATCATTAAACCATTGAATAATTCTTCTACTGATTTGGAGAATATATTAAACATTCTTTTTCATTGATAAGAAAACAATTTTTCAATTCAATAATTAGTTGTAATTAAGAGAAGGGAGGGTAAAGTGGAACGCCAGGACAAAAGAATACGCTCGAAATCATTTACTAATTTATTAAAATAAGTTTAAAAAGCCTTAATGTGTTTTTTGTTCAGTTTTATCATTTTTTCAATTTATTAATGCATTAAAAATAATTAATATTTGTTAATATGTAGATTAATTTGTTGACTTAAGTTTTTTCTTTGTATTCCACTTCACTCTCACCTTCTCCTATTTGATCAATTTATCATATTCAGTAATTCGATAAAAATAATGTAACATTGTATGTATGTTCCATAATCAAGAGAACTAGGTATGAAATGAATATAATTTATATCTACATTCTAAATGTAACTTTTTCATATAAATTCATCTACTAATAATTACTTTGTCTTGTTTTGTTAATAATTACACGTAAACGAATTCTATGAATTAAATAGCT